TAGGAGTGGTGAGAGAGGGCATCCTTGTCTAGTGCCAGATTTCAAAGGGAATGCTTCCAGTTTTTGCCCATTCAGTATGATATTGGCTGTTGGTTTGTCGTAAATAGCTTTTATTATTTTGAGGTACGTTCCGTGAATACCTAGCTTATTGAGGGTTTTTAGCATAAAGGGCTGTTGAATTTTGTCGAAGGCCTGGACCAAGCAAACCTAATAGACATTTACAGAACTCTCCACCACAAATCCACAGAATATACATTCTCCTCAGCACCACATCACACATACTCTAAAATTGACCACTTAATTGGGAGTAAATCACTCCTCAGCAAATGCAAAAGAACGGAAATCATAACAAACAGTCTCTCAGACCACAGTGCAATCAAGTTAGAACTCAGAATTCAAAAACTAACCCAGAACCACACATCTTCATGGAAACTGAACAACTTGCTCTTGAATGTTGACTGGATAAACAATGAAATGAAGACAGAAATAAAGATGTTCTTCGAAACCAACAAGAATGGAGACACAACTTACCAGAATCTCTGGGACACATTTAAAGCAGTCTCTAGAGGAAAATATATAGCAATAAGTGCCCACATGAGAAGCAAGGAGAGATCAAAAATTGACACCCTATCGTCAAAACTGAAAGAGCTAGACGAGCAAGATCAAAAACACTCAAAGTCTAGCAGAAGACAAGAAAAAGCTAAGATCAGAGCAAAACTGAAGGAGATAGAGACACAAAAAACTCTTCAAAAAATGAATAAATCCAGGAGCTGGTTTTTTGAAAAGATCAACAAAATAGACGGACCACTAGCCAGACTTATAAAAAAGAAAAGAGAGAATAACCAAATTGATGCAATAAAAGACGATAAAGGGGATATCACCACAGATTCCACAGAAATTCAAACCATCATCAGAGATTATTACAAACAACTCTACCCACATAAACTAGTAAACCTGGAAGAAATGGATAAATTCCTGGACACTTGCCTCCTCCCAGGCCTAAACCAGGAAGAAGCCGAAACCCTGAACAGACCCATAACAAGGTCTGAAGTTGAGGCAGCAATTAAGAACTTACCACCCAAAAAAAGCCCAGGTCCAGATGGGTTCACAGCTGAATTCTACCAAACATACAAAGAGGAGCCAGTACCATTCCTTCTGAAACTATTCCAAACAATACAAAAAGAGGGAATTCTTCCCAAATCATTTTATGAGACCAACATCATCCTGATTCCAAAACCCAGCAGAGACTCAACAAGAAAAGAAAACTTCAGGCCAATATCCATGATGAACATAGATGCAAAAATCTTCAATAAAATACTGACAAGCCGATTGCAACAGCACATCAAAAAGCTTATCCACCATGGTAACCTTCATCCCGGGGATGCAAGGCTGGTTCAATATACCCAAGTGTATAAATGTAATTCACCATATAAATAGAACCAAAGACAAAAACCACATGATTATCTCAATTGATGCAGAGAAGGCCTTCAACAAAATTCAACAGAGTCTTGCTTTATTGCCCAGGCTGGAGTGCAGTGGTGTAATCTTGGCTCACCGCAACCTCCACCTCCTGGGTTCAAGCAGTTCTCCAGCCTCAGCCTCCTGAGTAGCTGGGACTACAGGCACGTGCCGCCACACCTGGATAACTTTTTGTATTTTTAGTACAGATGGGGTTTCACTGTGTTAGCCAAGGTGGTCTTGATCTCCTGACCTTATGATCAACCCACCTCGGCCTCCCAAAATGCTGGGATTACAGGCATGAGCCTCCGCACCTGACCTACCTAAGTTAAATTTTTAAAAGCTCTGTAGAATAAATCAAATGTCTTTGGGCTACATTCTGCTCATGGGCTTCTCATTTGTAAATTGTTCTAATAAGTAGTGTTTGCCCAATCGAGGTGTATTTGCCAATAGTTAGAGGAGTCCTTTGAGATTTCTTATAAATAATCAATTGGTGTATGTGATAGTTAATATTGAATGTCAACTTGATTGCACTGAAGGATTCAAATTATTGTTCCTGAGTGTGTCTGTGAGAGTGTTGCTGAAGGAGATTAACATTTGACTCAGTGGACTGGGAGAGGCAGACCTACCCTCAGTCTGGGTGGGTGCCATCTAATCAGCTGCCAGCACAGCTAGAATAAAAGCAGGCAGGAGAAGATGGAAGAGCAGACTTGCCGACTCTGCCCTCATCTCTTGCTTTTATCTTTTTTTGCCTTCTTGCCTCTCTTCCCTTCGTCTTTCTCCCATGCTGGATGCTTCCTGCTCTGGAACATCAGACTCCAAATTCTTCAGCCTTTGGACTCTTGAAATTCCACCAGTGTTTTGCCAGGGGCTCTCAGGCCTTTGGCCACAGACTGAAGGCTGCACTGTCACCTTCCCTAATTTTGAGGTTTTGAGACTTGGACTGATCCACCAGTGACTTCCTTGCTTTTCAACTTGAAGATGGTCTATCGTGGGAATTTACCTTGTGATTGTGAGAGTCAATTCTCCTAATAAACTCCACTTTATATATACATATACCCTATTACTTCTGTCCCTTGAGAGAACCCTAATACAGTGTAGATTACCTGGACTTATTAATGAGAATGACTCTGTTTACTTAATGTAACAGATAAAAACAAATGAGTGGCACCCATGCAATTCATATAATTTTGGTGGGGAGTGAGAGGAGTTGGTTCTCCGCTCACAATGGAAAGTTTTAGCATATTCTGCTGCACATGACCTGGGAGCATTTTGCACTTCCACTGGGAAAAAGTAAGGGGAATAAAAAGCCCTGGATTCGACTTGCTAACTTGAGAGTGACTAAATCAATTTATCTGGAGGTTCCCCAGGGTGGATTCAGAGTGGACTCAGGCCAGATTCTCTGCTGATGCTTTGAACTTACGTCTAGAGCATCACCTCCAACAGAAGAGAGCTTGTCTGCTGTGTGTCCTGGCCAAAGAAATGCACGTGCTCAATCACTGGATAGTGGCTCTTGAGTAACTCCTGGAATTACCTGGCTGGAATATCTATTCCTTTTGGACCACAAATTTCATCTCTTCACCTTCTGCCTGTATCGTGCTGAAGATGGACATGTCCCAACTAAACCATATAGGTGGACTAGCCACATTAACAAGAGAAGCAATGGTCCATTTTCTCACTGGTTATTAACTATGTACATTAAAAATTAAATAACAAATCTGGTCATGGTTACTACTGTATTCTGTAGGGTGGAACAGAGAAGGTAGAGGGTAAATATTTCAGTTGCATTTTAAAAATTATTTTATTTTATTTTTTAATTGAAAGTAGACAAAAGTGGACAAAAACCATAACTACCATTGTACCAACCTAATAATTGTACATAGTCATGGGGTACATAGTAATGTTTTGGTACTTATAGTGATCAGATCAGGGTAATTAGCATATCCATTATCTCAAACATTTATCATTTCTTTGTTACTGTATTAGTTGGTTCTTATACTGTTATGAAGAAATATCTGAGACTGGGTAATTTATAAAGGAAAGAAGCTTAATTGACTCACAGATCTTTATGGCTGAGGAGGCCTCAGGAAGCTTACAGTCATGACAAAGACAAAGGAGAAGCAGGCACCTCCTTCACAGGGCAGCAGAATGAAGTGAGTGCAAGCAGGGGCAAGGCCAGATGCTTATAATGCCATCAGATCTGGTGAGACTCACCCACTATCATGAAAACAGCATGGGGGAAATCACCCACATGATCCAGTGACCTCCACATGGTCCTGCCCTTGACAGATGGGGATTACAATTTAAGATAAGATTTTGGATGGGGACACAGCCAAACCATATCATTTGTGTTGGGAACTTTTGCATTTTTTTTAAAGTAAAATGAATGGCCTAATGGTTGACATTAACAGTGTGAGGTGATCACTCAATAGTTGTGAAGAAGTGGAGATGTGACTGATAAATTTGTTCAGATTTGCCTTTCCTAGACTGGGGAAGCTAGAATTCAAGCAGAACCTGTGACCTACACAAAAACTGAAATTAACTTATTTTCTCCAGATTCACCTAGATTAGGCTATCCCACATTGGTGTAGATAAAACATGATTAATATGCTTTGGGAGGGGCTGGGAGATTGAGGAACACATTTTACACTTGGCCACAAGAGAAACAATGGAAGCACCATTAGTTGTTGAGTTTTTTTATCTTTTTATTTTCTTCATGAAAAATTTGTTATTTTTAACATTTTCTATATAATAAGCAGAAGAGTAAATTATGTGTCACATAAAAATTTATGTGTCACAAATTTATAGTGATTGATGTACTTTTGACACATCTATCACGTTTTCGAGATTTATAATTTTCTTCCAATGGGGAGTTGAAGTTTTTGTGCCTTCTTTCTGTATGTTTATGCAAGTCATGTTTTCCAGACTCTTTTTTTTTTGCATGGTTTCTGTGCACTAAGGACTTTATAAAAATAAAATCGTTCTTCATCTCAACAATCTCATGAGGTAGATAATGTTATCTTCACTTTGCAAGAGCTGAAGCTTAGGGTAAATAAGAAATGCTTAGAATTTTGCAGTTCACAACTTGAAGAGCCAGAATTTGAACCCAGTTTTGTCTTATTCTCATAATAACTTTATTGCCAGCTATGAAATATCCATGACATTTGTTTACACCTCAGATAAATCACTTTTATATTAACTTCTACTGAGAACATAAACTGAGGCCAGATATTTTTAGCAAATGCATTTAACCTGGGAATGCGATTAACACTTAAGAGGTGAAGAGATGGCACAAGACCCAGGTTTCCATTAAATTTGAAATTAAATAGAAATACAGTTGACACCTGTGTCTTTAGGACAATTAACTGCTATAACTAAGTAGAAATTATCCTCTTCCTTGTGGAAATAAGCCAGTTGGAGGTGTGTAGGTTATGAAGATCTAGCTTGTGATTTGGAAAAAAAACCCATTCCAGGAGACTGGGCTCATGGGACTCTTAGGCAAGTCATTTAGATTTGATCTCATCAAACTGGCTATGTCAAAATGCATGAACCAAACTAAAAGCTTGTGCTCTACATAACCTAGTGTTTGTTCAGTGTTGCCTTAGAAAAAAATACAAGGTATCAACCAAAAGTAATTTAGACGATTCAAACCTTTCTTGGAATCTCTTGAATAATGTCAAGGCAGATAAAAAGCTGAAAATCCCATCCACCATTATTAAAATAATGTTTCTTTAGTTCTCTCAAACCCAGTATCTCTCAGATCAGGAGCTAACCTTAAAATTAAGGCCTTTATTATTTATTTATTTTTAAATATTGCCCCTCTCTAGCCTTGCCTGTATTCTCCATCTCCTCAACCCCAGGAACCAACAAGCTATCAAGGACAGAATTTGCACCAGAGGACAAAGAAAGGTAAGGTTGGGATTACTGATACTTTATTTTTGCTCTGTCAGACATAAAAATACTATATGTAATTCCTAAGGAGTCTGTATAACAGAGATACCTGCAAACACTCCATCTCTAAATCTCCCTTGCGCCGTTGCTGTGGGCAAGACTCAGGAGCCACACGAGGTTGAGAGAGAGCATGAGAGTCAAGAATGGTGAAAGATTCATGCATGTGGTGAGAGAAGAAATAAGATTCACAGGTGGACTGAGCTGAGTAACAGGCATGGGTTGAAACTTATCATTGGGGCTAATATGACAGATTTTTTTGGTGTGTAATTTTTAGATAACATGTGATGCCTTCTGTTTTAGGCAGCATTAAAATGATCTTGTGCCACAGTGACTATGTCAGAATGTCATTGACTCTGCCTTTGATGCACACTGATGGGCTTGCCTCGCTATTTTCCACTTATATCCATCTTTCCCAACTTCTGGATACCTGATCAAATAAAATGTCAGGTCAGGTCTGAATCATAGTGTCATGCTTGGAAAGGACCTTAAAGGTCATGCACTTCAGCAGTTTCCAAATCTCATACCTGGGCTGCTTTTTCAACATGCACATTCTTGTACTTCTCAGAGCTTTTTTTTATTTGTTTGCTTGATCCTATGCCTGCTACTCAATTCAGTCCACCTGTGAACCTGACCACCCCTCTCATCAGGTACTTAAATCTCACCCCTCCCTCCACCAGTCGGGGGCTGTTGGTCAGCCTAGGGATGGTGTTGGTGATGGGGATGGAAGCTCACAGGTACGGAGTGCTTATGAATTCTCAGTCACTGAAACAAGGGCTTTACCTATGTTTATCCCACTTACCAAATGTAGTAATCTCAAGAGACACATAAGATTATTACCCTCATTTTCCTTTGAGTCATTGAATTTGCTGCAAACACACTCTTTTCTAGGTTTCTGCTCAGGTATTTCTTCCCTTGTGAGGCACTCCTGCCTCCGCTATGGTCTTGGTGATGTGCCTCACCTTTGTGCTTCTGCAATGTTTGTGCTGACTTCTGTTCTTCCATATATCATTGGGATGACAACACATTTAACAGCTAAGGGTATGAGTTACTCTGCCAGATCCTGGCAGTGTGGCTCCAGGCAAGATAAACTTGCTCTGCCATTTTTTTTTTTCTCATTGTAAAATGAAGATTTAAAATAGCACCTGTGTTAAGTCTGATGTGAGGACCAGGGCACAAATGCATGTTAAACACTTAAACCTGGGAAGAGAATAAATGTCCCACAAATGTTACCTGTTATCTTATTACACCACATTTTAACAGTCCATTTACTTGTCTTTCTCCTTTCACAGGCTATAAGCATGTTGAAGGCAGACATTATACTTTGTTCAGTCTTCTATCTCAAGTACCTACTGCAAGACCAAGCAAACCGTAAGTGCTCAACAATTGGTGATTCTTCATGTCAGCCTTATCTGTAAAAGGGTTCAGAATAAAACATTATAAAGACCTGCAGCCCACACACTTTCTTATTTCTCTGAACATTTACAACAATTCTAAATGATACCACTCTGCTGTACGTTAATAATAATAATTTATTTTATTGTGATTTAATCACATGGCCCTATACATTTACCCACTGCTTTGCCTTCCAGACAAACCTAGATTTGAATCTTGCTTGCTTGCTTCTCTTGCTCTCTCTGACATTGGGCAAATCATTGAACCTCTTGGATCCTCATTTTCTTCATCTATAAAACTGAGATGATATAATGCATCTTCCTTGCAGAACAGTAAAAGGATTAGCAGTGTTCTATGAAGGACATGTACGGTGGCTGGGATGGAAAAGATGCCCAGGAAGAGGTACATATGCTTTCTATTGCATGGAAGGAGTTTACTACAAATGTTTGTTAGCTTAGTCTTGGCCTCTGATTAGTATAGTCATATACCTCAGAGATATTGAGGGTCTGGTTTTAGACTACTACAATAAAGAGAATATTACAATAAAGCAAGTCACACATTTTTTGGTTTCCTAGTGCATATAAAAATTACATTTACACTATACCATATTCTATTGAGTGTGCAATAACATTATGTCTAAAAATGTACATACCTTAGTTTAAAAGTACTTTTTTGCTAAAATATGCTAACAATCATCTGACCCTTCCCGTAGTCATCATCTTTTTCTGGTGGAGGGTCTTACCTCAATATTGATGGCTGCTGACTGATCAAGATGATGGTTGCTGAAGGTTTAGATGGCTGAGGCAGTTTCTTAAAATAAGACAACAGTTAAGTTTGCTATATTGATGAACTCTTCCTTTCATAAAATATTCCTCCGAATCATGTGATGCTGTTTGATAGCATACTCATATAATTTATTTCAAAATTGGAGTCAATCCTCTTCAACCCTGCTGTTTGTATGGCAAATGCACCTGATAGCATTAATGTAAGCACACCCTGAGAATGGCTGTATGGCAGATGCACCTGAATGTGTGTTTTGAGCCAGGGAATCTGGGAGTGGCCAACCTGGAGATTCATTCCTTGCCTATGAGGAACATCTGAGTCCTTGTCCCATCCCATGAAACATGGGCCATACAGGGGATTGAGACCCTGAGTTTTGGGTTAAATGGAGGTTGCCAGGTGGAGGTCATTAAGGGGAGGGTGTTAAGTGAAAATGTGGTGTAAACTGCATGCTGTTTGTAAGCTGTTGAGGCCTTCCTGTCGAGCCCACCACCACTGGACCATTTCTGTATGTTAGGCGGTTCTCCTCTCTAGCCCTCTGCTGCTGAACTCCCTCAACTGTATTTCATCCCCTAATAAACTCCGCATCTCATTTGCTGGCTCTAGGTGTTGTCTCTGGTTACTTGAACATGGTGCCTTCCATATTGAGGTTAATAGGGGTTCAGCACAACACCATTGCTTTATCAACTAAGCTTATGCAATATTTTGAATGCTTTGTTGTCATTTCCGCAATGTGCACAGGATCTTCATTAGGAATAGATTCCATCTCAAGAAAATACTTTCTTGGCTCCTCTGTAAGAAGCAACATGTCACCTGTTCCAGTTTTATCAGATTGTAGTAATGCAGTCACATCTTCAGGCTCTATTTCTAACTGTAGTTCTCTTGCTATTTCTACCACATCTGCAGTTACTTCCTCTACTGATGTCTTGAACTCCTCAGTCATCCATGAGGGTTGAAATAAACTTCTTCCAAACTCCTATCAATCTTTTATTAGTAAGTGCAGTTTTCTCTGCTCATGAATCACAAATGCTTTTAATGGCATATAGAATGGCAGATTTTTTCCAAACAGTATTCAATTTACTTTGTCCTGATCCATCTGAGGAATCGCAATCTATAGCCTTATGGAATGCATTTCTTAAATATGAAGACTTGAAAGTTGAAATTACTCCTTGACCCATGAGCTGAAGAATGAATGCTGTGTTAGCAGCATGAAAACAATATTCATCTCCTTGTACATGTCTGTCAGTGCTCTTGGATGATCACTTGCATTATTAAGGAGCAGTAGTATTTTGAAAGGAATCTTTTTTTCTGAGCAGTGGGTCTCACCAATGGGCTTAAAATATTTAGTCAACTATGATTTAAAGAGATGTGCTGTCATCCAGGCTCTGTTTTTCCATTTTGAGAGCACAGGCAGATTAGGTTTAGCATAATTCTTAAGGGCTCTAGGATTTCCAGAATGATAAATGAGCATTGGCTTCCACCTTAAGTTGCCAGCTGCATTTTAGCCTCTAACAAGTGAGTCAGCTTGTCTTCTGTAACTTTGAAGCCAGAAATTTACTTCTCTCTAGCTATGAAAGTCTTAGATAGCATCTTCTTCTAGCATAAGGTTCTTTGATCTACACTGAAAATCTGTTGTTTAGCGTAGCCAATTTTTTCTTCAGTCTTAGCTAGATCTTCTGGATAACTTGCTGTAGCTTCTCCTTCAGCACCTGCTGCTTCACCTTGCACTTTTATGTTATGGAGGTGGCTTCATTTCTTAAACCTTACGAACCAACGTCTGCTAGCTCTAACCATTTCTTCTGCAGGTTTCTTACCTCTGTCAGCTTTCATAAAATTGAAGAATTAGGGCCTTGCTCTGGATGAGGGTTTGGGTTAAGGGAATGTTGTAGCCAGCATGGTTTTCTTTTCTTTTCTTTCCTTCTTTCTCTCTTTCCTTCTTTCTTTCCTTCCTTCTTTCTCTCTTTTCTTCTTTCTTTCTTTTTCTCTCCCTTCCTTCCTTTCCTTCTTTCTTTCCTTCTCTCTTTCTCCCTCTTTTTTCCTGTCTTTCTCTCTCTCTTCTGTTTTGCTCTCATTGTCCAGGCTGGAGTGCACTGATGCTATCTTGGCTCACTGTAGCCTCCACCTCGCAGGTTCAAGTGATTCTCCTGCCTTAGCCTCCCAAGTAGCTGGGATTACAGGCTCCCGCCACCATGCCTGGCTAATTTTTTGTATTTTTAGTAGAGATGAGGTTTCATCATGTTGGCCAGGCTGGTTTTGAACTCCTGACCTCAGGTGATCCACCTGCCTTGGCCCCCAAAAGTGCTGGGATTACAGACCTAAGCCACTGTGCCCGGCCCCCAGTGTGATCTTCTACCCAGACCAGTAAAACTCTCGATATTAGGAATAAGCCTGTTTTGCTCTCTTATCATATGTGTCTTCACTGCAATAGCACTTTTAATTTTCTTCAAGAACGTTTTCCTTGCATTTATAACTTGGCTTTTGGCACAAGAGGCTTAATTTTGGGCACATTTCAGCTTTTGACATACCTTCCTCACTAAGCTTAAGCATTTTTGCTTTTGATTTAAAGTAGGAGATGTGTGACTTTTCCTTTCACTTGAACTCTTAGAGGGCATCATAAGGGTTTTAGTCAGCCTCATTTCAATATTGTTACATCACAGAAAACAAGGAGGCCCAAGGAGCGGAAGAAAGACAGGTGAATGGCTGGTTGATGGAGCAGTCAGAATACACACAACATTTATTGATTAAGTTTGTCATCTTATATGGGCATAGTTCATGGTGTCCCAAACTATTACAAAAGTTGTATCAAAGATCACTGATAACAGATCGCTATAATAGGTTAAATAATAATGAAAGAGTTTGCAATATTGTGAGAATTACCAAAATGTGACACAGATACATGTGCTGTTGGATAAATGACACCTATACTGGGACTAAGAAGTGGGGAGGGGTGAGGTATAAATAACTATGTAATGAATACAATGTACTGCTCGGGTGATGCATGCACTAAAATCTTAGACTTCACCATTATACAATTCATCCATGTAACCAAAGACCACTTGTACCCATAAAGCTATTGAAATAAAACATATCTGTGAAACAAAATAAAGAAAAATGGCACCTATAGACTTGCTCTATGCAGTGTTGCCACAGACATTCAATGGGTTAAAAAAAAAAAGGCAGTATCTGAAAACTAGAATAAGAAAAAGCTATCTGAAAACTAGAATAAGGAGAAGCACAATAAAACAGGGTGTGCCTGTGCTTTTCATTGACATGAAAACTCTTTTGGGCCTGAAATCTTTTGATTCAGATTTCTGGAAGTACTAGTATTGTTGAATTGTGTGCCTCCAAAACATGTGTTGAAATCCTAACTCCCAAAACCTCAGAATGTGACCTTTTGGGAAATAGCATGGTTGCAGATGTCATTAGTTAAGATGTGGTAATTCTGGGGTAAGGTAGCCCCTAATTTGATATGACTGGTGCCTTAGGAGAGAGAGATGCAGGGAGAAGAACGCCATGTGACAAAACAGGCGGATGGGTGTGACCTGGCTGCAAGCCAAGGAACCCCAGGGACTGCTGTCTCCAGCAGATGCTGGGGAGAGGCAAGGGAGGATTTTTGCCCAGAATCTCACAGGGAGCGTGGCCCTGCTAACACCTCGGTTTTGGACTTCTTGGCTCCAGAACTGTGAGAGAATATGCTTTTAAATTGCTTCAAGCCACCCCGTTTGTGGTATTTTGTTATGGCAGCCCTGGGAAATGAACACAATTACTATGCTAAACTTCATGAGCATGTTGAGCTACTCTAGAAAAGTAGCTTTCCTGGAGCTACTCGAGAAAAAAAAATATTTGTATTACTCGTGAAAATGAGCACATTGAGGTTTTTTGCAAGTGATGGATTTTCCTATCCTAGAAGTGATTATAGCTGTAGAATGACTGGCTGACTTCCAGGGGAAAGAAAGAGAAAAAGAAACCTCGTGCTCTACCACACTACTCAGAGGCTTTTATTTTTTTAATATATTTTCCCTGAACTTCCAAACTTTTTGTAAAGAAGTTTGGGTCCCAAGAGGACCAACGAGCTCTCAGTCATCAGATAAGAAAATTCTGCTTGCATTTACTATTTATGAGTTGTGGCTTCATACTGTCACGTGACCACATGATGCTCTGCTTTGAAGAACCTGCAAATGACATGAGATTCATTA